ATTTATTTATTTTATTTATTTTATTTATTTTATTTATTTTATTTATTTTATTTTATTTATTTTATTTATTATATTTATTTTATTTGTTTTATTTATTTTATTTATTTTATTTATTTGTATGTTTATTCTATTTGTTTATTTTGTTTATTTTATATATTTATTTGTTTTATTATTATTTTATTATTATTATAATTAAATAGTATAATCACAATTAAATATATCAGTGTAAATATTAATATAATATAATTTTTTTGTCTCCTTTTGTCTCCTTTTGTCTCCTTTTGTCTCCTTTTGTCTCCTTTTGTCTCCTTTTGTTTGCTTCTCTCTCTTATCTCCTTTTTATTTATTTATTTATTTATTTATTTACTCTGCATATCTCCTTCTATCTCCTTTAAATATGTAAATAGATAAATATATAAATAAAAAAAAATAAATAAATTATATATACATAAATAAATAAATAAATTATATTATATATTTACTTTTTTGTATGTATGCAGCCGCCTTAACGGCTCATCGTCATCATCATCATCATCAGCAGCAGCAGCAGGAGCAGCAGCAGCAGCAGCAGCAGCAGCAGCAGCAGATGATCCACAAACCCTAAACCCTTCGGACGACCCAGAGCTCCTTGAGGCTATTCGTCTCTCCAGGGAATGTTATAAAAAGGTGCATTAGGGTTTAGGGTTTAGGGTTTCTAGGGTTTAGGGTTTCTAGGGTTTAGGGTTTAGGGTTTAGGGTTTTATATATAGGAGCTAGCAGCTCCTGCTGCTGAGCCGCCAGAAACAGAAGAAGGGGTTATTATTAGGGTTTAGGGTTTAGGGTTTAGGGTTTGTGTGTGTATAGGAGCTAGCAGCTCCTGCTGCAGAGCCCCCAACAGGGTTACTAGGGTTTAGGGTTTAGGGTTTAGGGTTTAGGGTTTGTGTATAGGAGCTAGCAGCGCCTGCTGCTGAGCCGCCAGAAACAGAAGAAGGGGTGATTAGGGTTTCTATAAGGACGCCGTCAGGGGGCCGCATAAACCGCCGATTCAGACCCAATGAAAATATCAAGGTCACTAACCCTAAACCCTAAACCCTAGAAAACCCTAAACCCTAGAAAACCCTAAACCCTAGAAAACCCTAAACCCTAAACCCTAGAAAACTGTAAACCCTAGAAAACCCTAAACCCTAAACCCTAGAAAACCCTAAACCCTAGAAAAACCCTAAACCCTAAACCCTAGAACACCCTAAACCCTAGAAAACCCTAAACCCTAGAACATAGAAAACCCTAAACCCTAGAACATAGAAAACCCTAAATCCTAGAAAACCCTAAACCCTAGAAACCCTAAACCCTAGAGAACTTAAAACCCTAGGAAACCATAAACCCTTGACTCTATACTCTAGGGGATAAACCCTAAACCCTAAACCCTAAACACTGAAAGTTTACACTCTGAAAGATGAACCCTAAACCCTAAAACCCTAAACCCTAGAACTCTAAACCCTAAACCCTTAATCCTTGACCATACAACTACTCAATACACAAGTAGAAGCAGCATCGGCTGCAGCAACAACAGCAGCAGCAGCAACAACAGCAGCAGCAGCAAGAACAGCAGCAACAGAGGTAGCAGCAGCAGCAGCACCACAACCAACAGCAGCAACAGCAGCAGCAGCACCATCACCAGCACCACCGCCACAACAGCAGCATCAGCAGCAGCAGCACCACAACCACCACCACCACAACCAGCAGCAGCAGCAGCAGCAACAACAACAACAGCAGCAGCAGCAACAGCAGCAGCAGCAGCATGTATCTGTGTGTTTGTGTGTGCATGCAGCAAATTAGTGTGTGGCTGTTTTTTGTTAGCGACGAAACCACCGACCTGCCTCCTCTCTCTCCTTTCTCTTCTTTCTCCTTAGTACAAACCTTCCCCAGGTTTGTACTTTCTAGGGTTTAGGGTTTAGGGTTTAGGGTTTAGGGTTAGGGTCTAGGGTTTAGGGTTTAGGGGGTAGGGGGTAGGGGTTCAGGTTTAGAGTCCTAGGATTTGGGGTTTGCATGCATATATAAATAAAAAAACAAAAAAATAAATAAATAAAATAAATAAATAAATAAATAAATATACATATATTTATATATATAATAT